CTCCTATTGTATATATACATATAAAAAAAAAGACAAAAAGACTAGGTTATAGAAATTGTATTATATAAATAAATCAATCATTCCTGACTATTTTGTATACTTACTTCTTTGCTTAGAGCCTCGATTTGTTGTGTATAAAAATCAATCGCATCCACATGTTTTCCCCAAAGACCCAAAAAACCTGTCTATATAGACACCTAAACTTAAAATGACTTGAACAGCAATGAAAGATGTCATGTCAGCTAAATGAAGTCTAGTCAAATACCTTGGTAGTTGGCCTTTTATTAGGGTTTCTCTCAAACTTGTTGGTGTAGTAAGTAAGCCAATTTTGCAAAGTCTTCTTCATTATCACCATATCTGCAAGAGCATTTGCATTGTACACTACCTAAAACTCCAAAATTACATATCATCCAGATTAGCCAAATGAGACAGACTGTTCCACAAAGAAAGAAGCTCGCACACCTGATGTGAAAGATAATGATCAGGGTGATTAACACAGAAGAAATGTTCAACATGCTCACTAATAGACTCATCATCGTCTGGAGGAACATTTCTCACAAGAACCTACAACACCAATTATATTTTATGATTATTAATTACTCCATAACTTTTTTCAAAAATCATATATCTCTGCCCATTTTTGTTGACTATTACTCACTGTAAATTGATCCGGGCGACGTCTTTCAGCAGCAAGAAAATGAAGCCTCATTTTTGTTACAATCCTGTACTCATTGTAAAGGGCGTAGCATGTCCATAATGTGAAGACATAAGCCATTACTATATGGGCATATAACCTGATAATGATGATGACAACACTAAATACATATACTAAAATTATGTCATCAGAATCACAAATGGAATTATGTAAAAGAAAAAAACCTTCTCGATCCAGGAGCAACATTGGATATCGAGAGCTTGTCAATATCATTGTAAGTTAGATCTTGCCTATTTACTCTCATTTCCTCAAAATTCTCACCCGTATAATTAACAGGTACCAAAACACCAAATGCAAGAAGAGTGATGGGGCAAAATATTTTCAAGCTGCATCAAAATTTTGACATTAACAGAATCAGGAAAACTAGCATTTAGGTTGTAAGTTTTGATTTTGGCTACTCAGACTCCAAAAGGTGCTCACCCGAGAAGGTATATTCGAACATACACAGCAGAATCAAGTCCAGCATGTTCAATAAGCTCAGGTTCTGGCATTCTTAAGGCGGCAGGCATCCAATTCAAGAATTTTAGGTACATTTTGACATCTAGATTAACAAACTTCTTTACATAAGTTCCTGAACTAGTTGGACTATCTCTTATGCCCTTGAGATACCATTTTGGGAAGTAAACCCTATCATTGATGGGTTGAAGCCGTAAAATTGCAAATGCAACCAGAAATAGTACTGCAGACAAACAGTTGATAGCAGCAGATACAGCAATATCTGAAAGACTAGCCATGTTCTTTATCCAAGACCAAACACCACCTACAGTTTCAGTCGAAATTCATGTCACAACTCACAAGCATTAGAACTTTATGAGCTTCAGATGATAACTGACAGATAATCTAAAAAAATATGAATCCGTAAGTTTTTATGTTATATCTTGCAATCTAGATTCTAAACATCTAGCAAAACTACAAAATAAATTTTAAAAAATCACATTCTTGTTTCACGAAGCCTAAACGTCCCAAAACAATTTGCTTTATCTGTTTTCCTCAACCGAACACATTCGCAAATGACAATCAATGGCAAAAAGCCAGAAAATCGTCGATCCAACTACATGATCCTAGGATTGAGGGGAAAAAACTTAAAAGCAGGAATCACATACATTAAACTCATAACAATGCAAATTTACAAAATTTTAGGACGGGCGTCACACAATCGTGATCACGAAGATGAAACATTGAGATTTTACCTTTTTTCCTCAGCAAATTTATGGATCTCAACAAGAAGAAGAATGCAATAAACAGGTTAAATCCCGTTGTAATGACTGATGTGAGAAATATGAAAATTAAGGGTTTGAATTTGGGAGAAATTGTAAGGGTTTGGGGAAGGTGAAAATATATAAGGGGGAGGCGGCATCAACATGCATTAAGCGCGCAAAGTTTGTATGTTGGTTTATGACGTTATATATTTGGGGTACACGTGGGAATTATTGTCTTTTAAATGCTGCATATTCCAGATGTGCCCCTCTTTCTCCATTTATTTATTTTAGAAAAAATGACTTAGGAGTTTAATGAAGTTTAAAGAGCTCTTTGTCTTGTTTATCTATGATTTTTTTTTTTTTTACATCATATACCAATTAGTCAAGGGTATTGTTATATCTACCCTAGATTTTTAACACTACCCCTGTAATTATTTAGGTAGATAATAAAAACCTAAACATAGTATTCCATGCTACAAAAACCTAGACATAGTATTTCGTACCTATGAGCTAGAAAGCTTCAAAAATCCGAGTGTACATAGGGAAATTCGATCTCTAGACCTTCAGAGCAACATCACACATTAGCTTTAAACACTTTACCACTGAGCTGAAACCCTTTTTTTTGTTTAATTAAATCAAATCATTTTATATAACCTATAAAAAATAAAAATAAAAATAGAAATAATAATAATAATAATAATTTATTATTATAATTATTATTATTATTATTGTCGCTGTCTTATTATTGTTACGGTTTGTATTGTATAAATACGTATAAATACATATTGTATACATATAAATATGTATAAATACATATCATATACATATAAATATGAAATAAATATATATATGTATACTTAATAATATGTACAAATACACATAGTTATGTCTTTTATAAATTAATAAAACATTAAAAATATATTCAAACGGCAAACATTTTTTGTTTAAATCTTTTGTTAAACTAAAATTAAAGATTTTTTTAAATATACAAAAAAGGATAAAAGTTTAAAGATTTTTTGGTTATACAAACAAACAAAATGTAACACCCGAAATCAGAAAGACCAAGAAAAGAAAGGAAAACCATAAGTTTAAGGGGTCGACTCGTCGAGTCCAATGAAGAACTCGACGAGTCGGAGCGGGTTCCATGTCGCAGATTAAGTGACCGACTCGACGAGTTGGGGTTTGGACTCGGCGAGTCTGGTCTGGGTTGGGAATCCCTAATTTCGGGACTTGGTACCCTATTTAAGCACTTTATTCTCTTCCCTAGGGCTCATTTGCGGCCCCTATAGTCCAGAACCCCAAACCCTAGCCACCATAACCGTTTTTGGAGCAAGATCTACCCTTGGTGAAGTAATTTGAAGCTTGGAAGAGAAAAGATTCATAGTGGTGCAAGATGAGGCCTTGGATCCAGAGTTGGTGGAACTTTTTAGAGCATTTGGAGGTAATGAATTGTTATCGTTGGCTTTCTCCTTTCTAGATCCATCTTTCATGAAGTTTTAACGTTTCTTTGAGAGTATGTGATGAGAAATTGGTGCACAAGTTAGATCTAGAGTTGAAACTCTAGATCTGAGCTCTATTTGGATCAAAGATGCAGAAAGCCCTCTTAGTTGCTATGCAAAAGCCATTCCCATGAGTTAAGTCCCTTTCTAGCTTGGTTTTTTTTTGGTATTATGAGACAAGAAGCACGTAAAGGTAGCAACTTTATGTTGCTAATGGACTTTAGGAACCCTTGTCTATTGTTTGGAGCAAAGGAGTAGCTCGGTGACTTGAGATTATGAGAATACACGTAAGGACTCGGCGAGTCGGGCTAGATACCAAACTTAAATCGCGTAGTAACTCGGCGAGTCACATGGGTGGACTCGGCGAGTTGGATGAAGATAGGCAGGAACTCGACGAGTTGGAAGAACAACTCGGCGAGTCTGTTCTTGGACTCAGCGAGTCAGGTTGCGAAACCCCAAACCCTTCTAGTTAAGACTCGGATCAGTGAGTTGAGTGGAGACTTGGTAAGTTGAGCAGGACAGAACTCGAAAATCAGTAGACTCGGCAAGTCATGGTCTGACTCGGCGAGTCGAGTCGCAAATGAAAGGGGTTTCTGAGCTTATGAACTTGGCGAGCCAGTAGGCTGACTCGACAAGTAGAGTCAACCTGGAAGGTTCACTTTGACCAGGACTTTGACTTTGACAAGAGTTGACTTAGTTGACTTTTGGAAGACTGTTAGACTAAGTGTTATATTGATATTAGTAGCTCGGAGAGCTAGAGGAGCAGTGCCTCAGAGGGTTGTCGGTTAGCAGCCAGAGGGTTATCAGTAGAGCTCAGCAGTTCAGGTGAGTTTTCCTTCCAGTAGGAACGAGTCTAAGGCCACAATGCCAACCCGTTTAGCTAGCAGTAGTTTCTGGACTTCGGTCCGATGCAGTAGTTAGTATGTTTGATGCCTTCGTGGCTCAGACAGGATTTATGTGTTATGTGTTCCGGGCTACGGTCCGATGCAGTATGCAATATATGTGTTCATGCTAGTTGATATGTTTATGATATGCTATGTTCAGTCAGTTAGTCCGGACTTCGGTCCGATGCAGGGGCAAGGCCCCAGTTAGTCCGGACTTCAGTCCGATGCAGGGGACAAGGTCCAGTCAGTTTCCGGACTTCGGTCCGATGCAGGGGGCAAGACCCCAGTTAGTCCGGACCTTGGTCCGATGTAGTGGGCAAGGCCCAGTATGTGCTTTATATGTTTGCATGGTATGTGGTAGTTTTTTTTTTTTTTTTTTTTTTTGGGGGGGGGGGGGGGGGGCTCACTAAGCTTTGTGCTTACGGTTTCAGTTTTTGGTTTCAGTTACTCAGTTTTTAAAAGAGGAGCTCAGAGAGGTTGCAGCGCACACACCATAGTCAGTTAGCCTGGGAATGTTTTACTCTAATAATAAGATTATGTTTCGAATTAATACTCGAAAATTATGTTATGACTTATGATACGGTGTTTATAAATATGGTTTTAGTAATGTTTTAAAAGAAATTTTTATTAGTGATTTTTGGGTCGTTACAAGTTGGTATCAGAGCTTTGGTTTGAGGGATTCGGACACACTTGAAAGTGAGTCTGGACTCAAACTAAGGAAACGGTAAAAGGTCTTCAAAAGAAAAACATTTTCGAAAGGAATTTTGGTAAAAAGGAGTTTGAGAAAAGGAAAGAGTTTTAGAAAAAGCGAAAAGAATATTTAGAAACAAAATAACTTGAAAAGAGAAAAAGTGTGTGGTGCATGCAATTAGCCGAGCTCAAGTAAGTACTCCCAAATTACCCATACAAGTTTATGATTATCAGTTTTAGTTCTAGTTTCAGTTTCAGTTTCAGTAGAACATCATGCTAGTATAGGACTAAGGATCTAGGAGGATGCCTTATGTGCCTGCTTATGTGTTTCAGCCTTATGAGAATTGTATGCTAGTATTGAGTAGACAATAGTAGGATAGCCTGTTAGGTTATGCCTGATAGCATGAGTTCAACATTGTATGCTAGTGCAAATTCTTGGTTATGAGAATATATTTGCCTGAGTTAGTTTCCTTCTTGTTTGAATGCTGCTTGCTTTGTGTTTTGTGGGACTCTGAGTGTTGGGAGTTAGCCATTAGGTAAATACGTCACGTCACATGTGATCAGGGTTGAATAATCTCAGAGTGATGGATTTGGTCCTACGATGCAACTCTCATCTGAGTCTAACCATTGTAGGGATGAGTCCCTTACTCGAAGGATTATTCGAGCCTTGTTACATGTGATGGTATTCAGGTAATGGCTAATTGGCATTACGAGGAGACCTTCAGCAGCTGAGGACTGTTTGGGTGGAGTAAGAGGTTCCCTAGGGCAAGCCTAGGATGAGAGTAGCAAAGATTAGCAGTAGAGAAAAGGGGACTTGGTGGAGTTGAGGTAACTCTTGAGGAAAGTACGGATAGATGTGGAAGGTAGTATGGGCCCATACTACTGAAAGCAGAGGATCCGTACTCGATTCAAGAGGGGCGAAGGAAAAACTAGGGAACTAGTAGAGTGTGTGAGAGGTCCCTCAGTAGCGGTGTGTATTGATCAGTAACGTGTTATGTTTTCAGCATGGTGACATTGCGCGAGATATCAGTTGGCAGTTCAGGCGCCGGGGAGGGATCTAGCTCGGGTTCTAGAGTCGGGCAACTTGATGATCAGATGAGGGATTTCATTTCCGCAGAGATTATATGCAACATCATTGTTCAGACTCCAGTGATTTTCGGTTCGGTTAGAGAGGCCATCGTGGAGCTTATGGACAGTCATCTGGAGGCCATTAGGGTCGGGATAGTTTCAGGACAGATTGGGGCTCGTCTAGAGCCCGATGCTTATGGAGTTCAAGGATCCATCAGGGAGGGAGATCCCATTTTTAGCTCTTATCATCAGGGGACAGGAGTGAGTGGGGCACCCTATCTCCAAGAGAGACCTCTGCATGATTGGATAGTCAAGGAGGTTTCGCGAGCCATTCATGAGGAGCTGCCTGACATTGTCGTGAGGGTCACTGATAGGTTGACCGCGAAGCTCCAGGATCGGACAGCGGTTGTTCAGACGGTGGATGGGGTCGACGAGGTAATGCATGAGCGATAGTCTGGCAGGGAGTCGGAAAGGAAAAGGAAAACGGATGAGACTCAGGTAGCCACAAGTTCGGGCAATAGGCCCAAGGGGGCGGATTCGAGATCGAGGGACTATCAGAGCCGCAGTCGATGCGGGAAGTGTGGTAGGATGCACGAGGGTACGTGAAGGCGTAGAAGTGGTGGAGATGCTGGATGTTTCTGTTGGATTAGTGTCTAAGTCCATAACTATTTTGGTATGTACTTGACCCGATGGTGCATGGTCCTTTTGGGTTGCCTTCACCAAAGCAACTTGATAGGATGAATTATGGAGAGTAAGGATTAAATATGATTTATTAATATATTATGGGAATAATATATTAAAGGAGAAATCATATTGTTTAATTAATATTAGTCAATAATTAATTGGTAATTAGTTTTGTGACTAAAAGAGATTAATTAAACTTAAGGGACTGGAATTGTAATTATAAGATAATTGCAATTTGGGCCATGGATTGCCTTATATTAAGGAATGGACAAATTCTAATGGGAAACCCATAAGGAAATCGTCCATGGGCTTAATTAAAGGAGTCTATGGGTTGTTTAGGGCTTAAGCATCCAAATTAGGGTTTCCTTGTTAGATAACCTTAATAGCCCAACTATATAAAGACCCCTTAAGGCTCAAAAACATGGCCAAGGTTCTTGTAAGGGTTTACACACGTTTTTGGTAGCCTCCAACCTCTCTCCTCTTCATCCTCTTGCTTATGGTGTTTGTAAACCATTAGAGGAGTGATACTTGTGACTCTAAGCATTCCAAAGTCAATACAAGGAGATTTGGGATTGTTATTGCTACATAACAATCAAGGTATGATCTTAAACCTAATTACATATTAATATGATTACTTGTATGCTAGAATTAGGGTTTATAGTCTTGGATTCAAAGCATGTACAATAGAGAAACCTAGATCCAAGCATTAGGGTTTGTATGAGAACATATGATGTTTTATAACCAAAACCCATCAGTTTCAAGTGTGGCCGGATTGGCCATTTTAGCAGAGATTGTATTGTTACCATCGCACAGGGACTTGACCCGATATGTTTCCATTGCAGTCAGAGGGGTCACAAGAAGGCCCACTATCAGAGTTTGCATACAGCAGGGCAGGTGATAGCTCCTACCCTTGTAACTTCGAGAACCACTAGCGGTTGTCGTGGTCGGGCAAGGGCGCCCACGACTCGGAGCCGAGTATTCCGATTGATTTCAACAAGGATTCGAGCAGCACTGAATGTTAGGGGTACGTATATTTTTGATGGGTTTTTGGTCATAAGACATCTTATGTGCTCATACAAACCCTAGATCTAGGTTTCTTTATTGTACATGCTTTGAATCCAAGACTATAAACCCTAATTCTAGTATATGAAATCGATATTAACATATGAATGGGTTTAAGAACATACCTTGATTGTTATATAGCAATAACAATCCTAATTCCACCTTGAATTAACTTTGGAATGCTTAGAGTCACAAGTGTCACTCCTCTAATGGCTTACAAACACCAAGAGCAAATGGAGAAGGTATAAAGAGAGAGGAGAGAGGTTAGAATTCGTCCTTAGGACTCCTTGGGAACAAGTACACGAATTCTAAGGCCTTAGGGTCTTTATATAGGTGTAGAGATAGGGTTTCAGTCATTATCCTTATCTAGTTGCTTATCCACAAAGCAACCATAAGATAAGCCTTGAAAACCCTTATCCTTTATCCTTTGGACGATTTCAAGGATCCTTATCTCCTTGAATTCGTTCAACCCATATTTAGGATAACCATTACCATATTTTGTAACTATCACATAATTACAATTCAGCCCCTCTAGTTTAATTAATTACACTTGATCACAAAATTAATTCCTAATTAATTATTGACCAATATTAATTAAGCAAATATGATTTCTCCTTTAATATATTATTCTTATAACATATTAATAAATCATAATAACCTCTCTCTCTTTATTTATTTCTCCAATCAAGTTGCTTTGGTGAAGGCAACCCAAAAGGACCATGCACCATCGGGTCAAGTACATACCAAAATAGTTATGGACTTAGACACTAATCCAACAGTCTCCCACTTGGATAAGTCTAATAACTATTCTGCGTATGACTTCAGATCCTGATCTGCAATCGTAGCTTTCCAAAGCCGCTGTCAACTCTGATCCTATCAGATACGCGTGTCCTTAGATAAGGGATCATATATTCCTCCATTCTAGATATCGTATGAGATATGATTTCAAATCATTCTCTTTGTACTACTTCTCGATTTCCGATTTATGACGACAGACTAATTGAACAAATCAAATTAGCCCTAGCCCGGCCGAGCATTTACGTTTGTCATCACTAAACCATCGAGGGGCCCAAAGATATCGCTTTTATCCTTCTTTGGATAAAAGGAACGGATAAACTTTGATACAATGCTTGCTTGCACTCACTACCAAATTACACACAACAATATGTTTTATAACACCAAGTTACTAGTGCGTTTACATATTATCAATGTGCAACCGATTAGCAAGATACAACTCACACATCTCGGTTTCAAGAATATAAGATGTTATCGTCTCACCAATCACTCGTGATACAATTCATGGAGTGATCCAAGTGAGCGTGGGTTTAATCCAATGCTCAAATCATATTCATAAGCACTCATGAACGTTGCAGCAAACATTTGCTTATGTCTAATACTCTTTTAGACAATCCACACACCAATTCACGACAGTCTTCATTCATATCTACTTCCAACATATGAACGACTGTGGCCCGTTCGAATAATTCGATTATTCTTAATAAACTCAATTATTCTGGAAGTCAAAACATGCAAAGTGAAACACAAGAATAATACTAATCCCATATGGCCTCAAACCTTTGAGTATAAATAAAACACCTTTTATTTATCACCATATGATTACTCATTATTTGTCGTTTCGGGTAATCAACTTCTTACTTGAATTATTACACTTGTCCCATGCTCCTAGCATGCACACAATGTTTACCTATGGTTCTTACTTTTGTGAAATAGACAAATTGAACATTTCCAATCATTCTCATTTCACAACTCCAAATCCATTTTCATAAGTGTAAGAATATCAAATTCTTGCTACTTATAGAATATGCTAGATTCTAACTTTATGCAATGATTTTTCGTAATGTCACTGCACCAAAGTCACAAAGACTATTGCCAATGATATTACAAAGTCCTCTATCGGAGATTGTTACAAGACAATTCCTTAGATATGATGTCTCTCACTCAAAGTACATTCCTTTGAACATCCTTTTGCATAAAAGTTTCTAATCTAGACATAGATTTTCAATATTTACTTCCTAATATGAACACGCTTCCATATTTTCCTCATGACAACTCATTCTTAATAGAATCTTTTCTATTTGTAATGATGTCGATATGGTCCATCCAATATGGAAACATTTCCATATTTTCCAATACTATACTTCCAACTACTCACAAGCGACCAATCCTCGTCGAACTTTGGATTGTCCTTTGATAGTTGTTTAATTATTTTAGTCAAAACCAATTCTAGTCCCTTTTCCCTCTAAATGCGCTAGACATTTGGAAAATTTTAGAATGGTCAAACATTAAAGCATTTGCAATCGATCCTATACCCGAAGCGTATGGGACACGACGCATAATGTTTTATTTGCTATGTTCTCAAAATTCGAATTGTGAAGAGGAA